GTTATTGAGTGTGTGGACAGGAAGTAAGGAAAGGAGGAACAGGAAGTGAATGATGACCCAGACATTTCTTCTTGCTGCCTATTTGTGTTACTTTATTTTACTGTATTTCACTTTTTCCATACAGCTTCAGGTAGTGGTAAAGCTGGAAGATAAGCAGGAAAGAAAAACCCGTATAAAAGACTTAGTGAGTACTTCCCACGTGGAAGGCTGGACCTTAAACTCTTGGTTAGGGCCATAAACAAAATGGGCCATGAATAGTTCCCACAGGGTGAAGCTGTATCTGCTGTTTCTTATAGCCACTATCACCCCCCGACAAACTCTGGGTTGTTATGCCAGCATCCAGTGCTCTGTAAGAACGTTGGTACACTGGGAAAGAGATGAAGTTCTAGCAAGTAAATTTTATTCTCTATGGTAGTGGCACTTAAATTGTTTTAAACTTAAATCCTCATTTTAAGAAGGTTCAGATTCCATCTCTAAAATGCAAACGTATTTTGTGCTACCTTGATGTACGTTTCTTACAGTCTATCTTGAAGTGTTGTTTTGGGGACTCCATCAGCGTCCCATGTAGGAATCGTCCTTGGTTGTTGGGCTTGTCTCTTGTAGGCTGGAGATTCCCTGAGGCCACACAGAGGTACTGGGTGTAATGGAAGCACCATTGAATCTGAGAATGTAGTGGGAAGCAACTTTGAGTTCTAGACCCGGCTCTTTCTCCCTCTTACCACCTAATGTTGTGGCTCTGGGTAGCAGGGAACTTTCTTGGACCAAGTTACATCATTTTCCTCCTTCTGTGCACTGATCATCATACCTGTTTGAACTGTTTTTACAGACCAGTGCCTGTGCTATTGTCCTCAGCCACTTTCTAGAGCCTTTTATCTTGGAAATCCCCATCCAGCCAACCTTTCTCATACAGTGGGTTTGCTGGCATTACTCCCAGTCAGGCCCCTTCAAGAGCTTCCTTCAGCCCTAGATCAGTCATAGACTAGAATTTAAGACTCACAACCATCTCCTTCCCACTGTGCTCCTCTATCCCAGCTGGCCCACTCAACTTGGTCACCCCAGGCCATTCCATGCATCCCCACCCCTGTGCCTTGCCCATGTTACTGCAACTGCCACGATGACCCTCAGTGACCCTCTCCAGGCCTGCCTCCTCTGTGAATCCTTTTCTGGTCTCTCAGCCCTGAGGGTTTTTCCTCCCATTTCTGAACTCCCCTGGAATAGATCCCTTGGCAGTGTATGGAGTACCTACACTAAGCCCAGCATAAGTCTGGGAAAACACAGCAGTAACAGATGACAAGGTCCCTGCTCTCACTGTAAAGGAAAGAGGGACAGTGATCAAGGATATTCCACAGGGTGCAAGGCAGCAGTGATAGGATAGAGACTGGTTTGGGGCCGTGCCCTTTGGATCAGGTGGTGAGAAAGGACTGCAGAGGTAATCACATGGGGATCTGCAGGGAGAACTCTAGGGAGACAAAGGCAGAGCCTAAGCTTGGAGCACGTCATCCTGTGGGTCTTACTGCTTGCGTTTGTTTGTGTGTTCCCACTATTAGAATAGATTAGGCTCTGCTAGAGTCATCAGTTTGTCTTAAAAGTCTTGGTTGCATGGCATAAAGTTGTCTATGTGTTCTTGCTCCCACTACATATCTAGTGTGACCACACAGGGATCTTGCTGTTCACAGTTGCTCAAGGACCCAGACTGATGGAGGCCACCAAGGACATTGTGTCAGAGGAAGAAGGCTAGAGGGTTGAGAGGGGCAATTTAATGCTTCAGTCTGGAAGTGTCACTAACCCTTTTCTGCTCACAGCTCACTAGTGAGATCCAGTTCAATTATAAAGAATGTATAAAATGTGTGGAGGCACCTGGCACTCTGCAAGCAGGAAAGGTCTCTCGACTTGTTCCAACTAGGCTGCAAGGTCCTCAAGAGAGGTGACTCTCTCTTTTATTTATTTTTCTCTCCTACACAGTACCTGGCCCATGGCAGATCTTAGCACACACTTGTTGATGCAGTAAAATAAATATCTCTCTTCATTCTTAGCACTCCTAAAGGCCAAGGCAGGAGGATTGCTTTAGCTCAGGAGTTGGAGACCAACTTGAGCAAGAGCAAGGTCTCATCTCTACTAAAAATAGAAAAACGAGGCAGGTATTGTGGTGGGCATCTATAGTCCTAACTACTTAGGAGGCTGAGGCAAAAATTTTTTTTCAAGTAGTGTCCACAGGCTAGGCATCCTTTAAGTCACGGTAGAGGCTACAATGAACATTTATCTATTCTTTCAACTTTACCTAGCTACAAAAGCATCTGAGGAAACACAGATGAATAAGGCAAGTGCAAAGTTGTCATGGTAGGATATAGTGGCTGGAGATGCAAGAAGGCTTGCACCTGAATATTAGTGTATTGCAGAAACCCCTATTCAGCAGACTTGAAGACCCTTAATGGCAAAGAACACACACTTACAGAGGGGGCCTTACAAAGCAGGAGAGGCCCAGGTACCCATGGCAGAAGTGTGGTTTCAGGGACCCCCTAGGCCTCCACAAGGACACAAAGCAATGGATAGAGCCACCCAATGGAAAGATAAGTCTGCCAGGCTCAGAGGCTTCCTTTGCTATTCTCACGCTGGGTTTAATACCCGTCTGGCTTCCTGCCCCAGACTGCTTGATAGTTGAGGAGGCTGTGACTATGTGCTTGGCTTACCAGGTGCAAACAGCTGGTGTAAACAACCCCCAGCAAGTCCCCAAGCATTTCCTGTAAGCC